GCGTCATTTCCACATTTTCATTTTTTTGACACTATTCACTTTTCGTCCTTTTTCCTATTTTGTCTTTTCCCCATTTGTTACTTTGTTGGCATAACCACACTTTTTGTGTTCGGAGTTGGTTTTTGAGTTCATGTGTCTTCATTCTAAGTGATTTCCACGAAATACATATCTTTACTTTTGCAGAAAAGTACTCTGGTTGCTCCCGGTGTCCATAGGGGCATGAATGCATAGTTCTTCAGAAACTTTTTCTTTTCTTGGAATGTTTTTCATAAATATCTTTTGAAGATATTTTATTTTAGGGGTCTCTAATAAAATATTTTTGGAAGATATTTTCATTCTGGGTCATTAGTGCAATTTTCACTTTTTAGAGGGGCCATTGTGTAATTAATGAAAGTTACTGCTAAATGCCTTGTTTTGAGCCTGGATCCTTGTACGTGATTCATTTTCAGTTTTCATCGAGTCATGTACTCTTAGAATTTTCTTCTGGTCATTTTTCTCCACTTTCAAGGTTTTTGGCTCCGGTTGTTGCTGAACTTGTTCGGGGCATATCTCTCTGCTCGGGACTCAGTTTTTGATGCCATTTCTTCCTTTGTTCATGTTTTCTCATTACGGTTCTTTTTTGTTCTTGGAGTTTTGCCGTTTGAGCACATTTGAGCGAATTCCACTTTTCCGGACCCGGCGGGGCACGTTACGGACACTTTTTGAGTTTTTATATAAATAGGGGGTCTTAGAATGAAAAATCAAAATTTTCTCTCTCTCTCTCCCCTCTCTTGGCCGGATTCCATGGCAGCCAAGGGCTGCCACCTTATCTATTCTTTTTTGAACCTCTTCCCCTTAGTGAAACGCCGTAGTGTCTTAGTGTTTTAGGTTCGCCTTGGTAAGTCCTTCAATTCCACCGATTGGAATCTCATTTTGGCCATTTTTTGAGTTCTGGTTTGAAGTCAAGTTGTGATTTTGATGGGGCTTCCTTGGGGTTCTAGTTCACCGTGTTGTCCCCGATGAAACCTCGAAGTATTGTTGAATTCGGGGCGGTTTCATTTTGGTGGCTTTTAAGATTTTTATCTCAAATTGAGGTAGGGAGTGTTTTAGGATTACGTATGTGTTGTACTGAGTGTTTTCATGATTATACAACTTATTTGCATGCCTTGTATCAAATCTAGAAAATTAATAATATTTATTTCTTTGTATAAGATTTAATTTAGAAGGATGTATATAGCTTAGAATTGAATTGTGGCATGATGATAAATTATGCTTTGATATATTTGTTAACATATGTTAAATTGAAATTATTTGAATAAGAATTGCACTTTTTATTTAATAATTATCTTTTGTGAAAGTTTAATTCTCATGGATGTACATTGCATGAAATTAACTTGTGATATGCTTTTAAATTAAGTCTTGGCATGTACTTTAACATACTTTAATTTGAGAGCATTTGGATGAGTATGAAAATCTAGAGATTTTAATTAAAAGGATTAATTAAAATCTATTTAAAAGTTCCATTGGCCTAATTAAGTTTTTAACTTGATATTTGTGATGACTAGGACTTGTATACTAGCATATGTTAATTTAGGACCATTTGATATTGTTTTAGAATTTAGGGATTTGACTATCATGATTTAATTAAATTCCATTTTATTGTTCCAACAGCTTAATTAAGTTTTTGAATTGGTATATACAATGACCATGCTATGTTGTTTAACATGTGTTAATTAGAGATCATTAATTGAGATTTGAAACTTAGAGAAATTAATTAGGTTATGTAATTAATTTCTGTTTCTATTACGTTAATGATTTAATCATGTGTTTGATGTTGGTATTATGTTTGAAGCATGATTTTAGACTTGTAATGGATTTATGAGATTATGTTTCTAATATTAAATTATATTGTTATAACGTGTACTGAATCGCACACTGAAGATTCGACATGTGATGTTATTATAGCGTGTAACGAATCGCACTCTGAAGATTCGACATTGTCATCCTATAGTAGTTGTGGATTTAGAGCATGTATTGTGTGGTTTCAATCTACTTGTGCATGAAGGTAGTTTCGTGTACTATTTAATACGTATATAAGTTGTTAATTTATTTATTTTGGAGTCACTTAGGACATTGTTACTGTGACATGGCTAGAGTTTGGCTCTAGTACGGGAAGTATGAGTTCTTCCCGTTTAAGATAGTGCGCACTAGGGTGGTTTTCCCAGCGGGTTAGTATCCGGAATAACCATTTAGGTCTTGGTACTCTAAGATTTGATGTCCAAGTCTTCCAATATTTAATTTCGCATTCAATTCCAAGTTGACAACCAATGTTTAATTGTGACTTGTGGTTTTGGTTATTGGCGATTTAATGTTATTAAGTACATTTATGCATTATGATTTTGAATGAATCATAGCATGCCTTTAATGTTGTTAAGTACATTCATGTTTCATGGTTTCTAATGAATCATTACAGGTTTTGATGTTGTTAAGTACATCTATGCTATATTGTTCAAATGTGACTTAAGAATGATCCTATAGATTTATTTGGAACATAGACGTTAGGTGGCATGACCCACTTTGATTGTTTTCGCATTTTAGATTTCAAGTTGATGACTTTGAGAATTTACATCTTATTATTTTGTATAGCATGCTTCTATGTTGTTTGAATTGCATGGATGGTGTGATTTATGCTAGAAATGATCTAGGGTAGCTTATGATGCTCCCTAAGTATCACCCTTGAAATAGATGTTAGGTGGCATGAGCCCTTTAACATATTTCATCTTAAGGTGATAAAATTGTAAAATGCTAGGTCGATGCATACTCATTTGCTAAGAGTAGCTTTATGTTACTCACCCCGAAGTTACTGGGGATATTTTTCAGGTATAGGGATCAAGGTTAGAGATTCTCATTATGCTTGGATGATTTGTGGACTTGAAGGTTTCCATTCTTGTGAAGGGTGGCTAGAAATGCCATTTGTAGCCTTATTTATCAAATGTGTATATTTGATTCTAAACTTGTAATGTGTGCCTAAGCACACTTTTTGATTCTCATTTTATGTATATGACATGAGGCTAAGGGCCAAACTTTTGGAATTACATATATGTCATGGATGTTAAATCTTGCCTTTAATGAGAATATATGAAAAACCATACGTTTTAGTAAGCTATTTTGCACCAGAGCGTGCATTGTGTATGAAATTCATCTATTAGCATTCATTAATCATGCATGAGGTGTGGCCAAGGGCCAAATGGTATTTTGAAACCATTTCATAATTTTGAGTTCCAAGTTTTCATTCCAAACTTCATTTTTTTCATTTTGGCCATCGGCCGGGGGGGGGGGGGGGGGGGGGGGTCGTATTTTCCATCGGCGATATTTTTAAGCCATGGATCATTATAGCGCGTCCTAATAGGCAGGTTATGTTTGCGTGCATGATTGTTTTTAAAAAAAACCTCATCCTTAGTGATTTGAGCTTCTTATGGACTCGTATTGCATTTTTGTTGCATAATCTGGTTTAAGGGCATTTTGGGTATTCCACTTTAAAAAAAAAATTCTCTAGATATGGTCATGCAGAAAACGTGATTTTAGGGGGAGTTTCTTCTTTGTGTTTTTCCAAAAAAACGTCGTTTCGGACACGAAAACCCCATTTCAAATTCAATTTTCTGGTAGAAATTTTTTTTTTGCTTGTTGTCAACCTCATCTAATCGATTAGATGGTCTTCTGTGGGATTTTCAGCATTCTGTTTTGGCATCTAATCGATTAGATGGTCCTGAGTTGCATCATTTGACCCTTTTTCTTCATTTGATCATAACTTTGTCATCCGGACTCCAAATTGAATGAACTTTTTTTTAAACTTAACTAATTTTTCGTCGTCTTTCTAATGGTATGCACAGTAGCACTCATTCCTAAGTAAAATGACTATTTTAACCTTGGTCCATTTCTTGTAGGTTTTCCAAAACCTTGTTCCCTTCTTGCTTCCTTTGAGTCTCGGGACTCCTCAGGAAGCCACTTTCGTGTCTTAGGGATGACGTACATCTCTCTAGACTTTCATTTCATGTAAAAAGACTATTTTGCCCTTGGAGGTATACTTGGTCTACTTTTGATCTTTTTCTTCTGTGTTAGTTCTTGTTGAGTTTCGTGGCCACTTGGAAGGTCACTTTGGTTTCTTAGAGACGTATTGTATCTCTAAAGACTTGGGTTCTATTTTTTGCTTTGGCATTCTGGATTCATTATCGGATCTACGTTTGGTTCATCACAGGACACACTGGCCTAAAAACCAGGGCCGTCACATTTAACCCTTTTATGTCTCATTCAACATTTTCCTATCCTTAATCAATCTTTTAAAATCATAATCCAATGTATACATTTATTTGAACACATTTTGTGTTTTTTTTTTATATTTATTTTATTTTTATTTTTTTTATGTATGATTATATGCAATGTCCAAGATCTTTAAGCTTTCTAACCACCCCATGTAACAAGCATTGAGCCAACAACTCCCAAACCAGATGGTCTTAGGGCGCTAAGTGTAAAGACACTCCTAAGGGCGTAATGACTTGGAATGGTTGGGCTACGAATTCAAACTAATCATATATCTTACATTCTTTCCTTGTCTTCCTTTTTAATCAGTTAACATGTTGAAAGAATGTAGTTTTATTTATTTATTTAAATATGCCAAGGATTATTTCATTCATCCGACCTACCAATTCAAGGAGTCAATTAAGTAAAACCATAAGGGAATGCAATTTTTGGTGTGCTCAATGTGCATTGTGAAGTCACTTAGAGTTGAAAGACTCCAAATAAAACATTTAAATCATGCAATGGACCTTTTTCATTTGAATAATCATGCTGACAACTTTCAATCATTCCTTGATATCCTATATAAGCATACAAGCTGTATTAATCACATAAATCCGCCCCCCCCCCCCCCCCCAAACTTAGTTCCAACAACGCCAAAAAAAATCATTTGCCTAAACATAAATTTTAAATTCTTTTTTTTTTTTTTTTTGTAACCAATTCAACTATAAACAATTCAACTATATTCAATAATGATAATTTGTCTGTGAATAGCAAACTCTCAACACTCCCAAACTTAAATGATGCATTATCCTCAATGTATGAAAACATGTATAGAAATTAAGCATGCCAAGAGATGTAAAAGGAAAGAAGCTACCGAGTGCGAGACAGTAACTTCAGTGCACCCAGTCGTAGTGAAAAAGTGAAATTTCTTCCCCCAAACTTAGACCTGATAAGCTGTTCACAAAAACTATATACCAAGCATAAAAGCATAGACATATATATAAAGATACAATTATGAAGTAATATGTCTTGCTTTATTCAAAACGGGGAAAGAAAACCAAAATATGTGTACGTCAAAAAGTGCACCCACAATTGTCATGCCAAACATGGCCCAAATCCTAAAATTTTTCAAAACACACAAAACAGAAGTAAATAGCATGAACTAAATAAAACTAAAGAGCAACACAATGCTCAATCCTCCATAAAGGTGGAAGAAGATGGACCCGGAGCGGCACTACCACGGTCAATAAGTGACTGCGTCATGGCCTGCAGAATTTGCTATCCTTCTCTTGTTTCCTTACGAAAATATGTAAGATTTTCTTCCATGGTACCAACCTGTAGCTGAAGAGCATCAAGCCGGGTGTTAAGGGAGTCATACTCTGCCCTAGTCATTGCAGGTGGCATTAGACCAGCAGGTGTAGGGTCATCATGCTCAGCCTCCAAAGGAATACTCATATCACCCCAATTAAACTCATCACCAATTTGTAGCTGTCTAACCTTTTTCAGTTGAGAACGACTATTCTTCTATTCAGTGAGATTATAGAGATACACATCCTCCAATTTCTCCTCATTTCGGTGCACTTTGAGTCCCTTTTTCTTTAGCAATTTCGTGATCAAATAAGGGAATGGAAATTCCCATGTCAAAGCATTATCCAGTTGCTTGATAGTGAGATCACGATATAGTTTCAAGATTTGATCCCAAATGAGCTATGGAACGTAAAACCAAAAACCTCTTTCTGCAGCATAAAGGGTAGTTAGAAAAGCACCTTTTTCTTTTTGAATGCCTAGCAACCGGAAAGACATTCTGAGTAAGGAAAGAGTCTAAGAACCAAATCCGGCATAGAATGTAGGATTTGTTGGTGCTTGTTGTGCGACGATGTGTGTAGCTATTGTGACAAATTTCACGCATAATGTCTGCTAAAGTAATTATATCTGGACAAACACCATAAATGGGCTCATTGTCATAATTCAAGGGAGAAGTCATAGGAACGTCCTAAGCTGTGGCAATCTCAATGATGGTGAATGCGAATGGCGTACATCAATTATTGTCCGTATCATATTTGGCTCAGCGCAGGAGTATGACATGTTGGCATAGAATTGTCGGATGATCCGTGGAAGGAAAACACGAACGCATGGCTTAAATAAAACTTTAAGGACATGATTTTTTTGCTCTAAAACAGACCAAACCGTTTTCGGATGGTCTTGAAATTCATGCTCAATTGTGAATTCGGTTTCAAATTCAATGGCCAGTCAGTACAATCCGAGGTAGGATTGTCCTCAGAAAACCCCTCTGAAGTGCGAAGGTGCTTAGAAACAGAAGAAGAAACCATTTGAGTGAAGAAAGTTGGATATCTGTTTTTGTTATATCTGTTTTTGCTATGGATGTCATATGATTATATTCTCATATCTGTATGTTTGAATCCATCAGGTGCATCATAGTGACTTTAGTGAGAGAGTGCTACCCAATTTTCAGGACCACCCTTATACCTCTCTCATTTCTTTATCTGTATATCCCATTTACACTTGCATGTCCATTGTGCACTAATTATCCCATTTTGTTATCTGATGAGTTTATCCAAGTGCCAATTTTCAGGACCACGGTTCATCCCAAGTTTGGGGGGGCTATGCCACCCACTTCGGATACTTCAGTCCCGATCATTCTATGTCTTAGTTGCACATGTATACTCTTTCCTTTATTCTCTTTGCACATTGAGGACATTGTGCCATTTAAGTTTGGGGGGAATGGTGTTTTACAGTGTTAGTTTTAAATTCAAAATTTGAGCATGACTTGTGTATTTGAGGGATATTTCTATGATTGGTCCATATCTAGCTATGATTTTGATCTTTTGAGGACTATATTGCTTAAAATTAAAAATTACTTGACTTGAGAGTCCAATACTCCTTGTATACCTTATGAATGCCATTTAGGAGTAAATTTTTTGAAAGAATGATATCTTGCTTGGACTTGTGGTCCACATCATCTTGATTTTGTGATTGTTTTGAGATTCATTCTAGGATTCTACACTAGCACCAGCACACACTAGCATTCATTTGTGGGGTACATGCTTTGTTGATTATTGAATTGGTTATATCTCAATTAGACTAGTAGTGCATTGAAAGCTTTCATTCTTGATAAAGGTGGATAACAACCCCCTTTTACTAAGTAGTCGGGATTCTAGCCTCATCAAGCACTGAACTTCTCGCGCCGAAAGGTGAAAGGCCCAAACTCTAGGTTAATAATTGAACTTATTTATTCAAAAAAAAAAAAAAAAAAAAAAAAAAAAAGAAGAAGTTGCAAAAGTAATAAAAAGTGAGGACTTCTCCTAAAAGGTGAGAAGTGGAAAATGATTAGATGGTTGTTGTCTTGATTTGTAGCCTAGTTGATTTGAACTTGTAAGTCCGTAGGGGTGTTTGAACGCCTAATGCCTTAAAGCCGTCTGGTTTGGGAGTCATTGACCTAACGCTCGACCTCATGAATCGCTAGAAAGCTTAATAGATCAACACATTGCACTATACTTCCATCTTTGATCTTCAATAAAAAAATAAAAAAAAAAGAAAAAAAAAAAGAAAAAAGAAAAAAAATTGAGTGAAAAGAATAAGCGCACCTAGAATAATAAAGCTTTAATAAAAGGTCCACTTTTTGTCTTGATGATCAGTACTAGATTTATGTGCTAGTTTGAGGGTAAGGATGTGATTAATTTTTTAGTTGGCTAAGATAGCAACATATTTGATGCCGGTCCACTCAAAAGGATTCTAGAATTGTTTTGATTTGCATGATCATTTTCTTGATGTGTGGAGGACCATATTTGCTTGCTTGATGTTGAGATTTTGGGAGATTGCTTAAAAAAGGTTGAAAAATTGCATACTTGAGGTAGTTTTCTCCCAATGCTTGTTTACAATATTGGTGTCTCTTTTGAAAGAATGAGCTTAATGTTTGTGGGTATCATTTCTGGAAACCCTCACGAGACTTCACTCGTCCACTAGGGGTAACCTAGGGGTTTAAAAGGCTTATTGCATGTGCTAAGTGCAATCGTGTTCCCTACGAAAGTGGCGTTATCCATTTATTATTTTCTAGATTCATACTTGTATAGTTGTTCATTTCATTCCTTTACTTTCTAGTTCATTGCTAGGGACTAGTAATATTTAAGTTTGGGGGTGTGATGAGCGCTGAAAAGTGCGTATTTGAACCCCTTAAGCTTAGGCATTCTAGTACCTTTATCTATCTTACTTTACTGTTTTAGATTGATTTTGTATTATTTTCATTTTCAGGCACTTATCCCGAAAAAAGCTAACTCAGCCAAATAAAAGCTTAATTGAAGCAATTTTGGGATTAAACAAAGAAATGAGCAAAGTGGAGAAAGAAAGAAGCAAATGAAGCCAAAGGTGGGAAGCAGCAAAGTTCGATCGATCCAACTTCAAGGTTCGATCGATCAAACAATGATCGATCTCAGCACTTCAAGATAGATCTAAGCCTTGGCCCAAAAGCATAAAGTCTAAAAGTTCGATCGATCCAACACCACCCTTCGATCGATCGAACACTTTTGTCCTTATTCAAATGATTGATCATATCCACAGCTGTACCACTCACTAACCACTTTTGTCCTTTTCCCAAAAATATCTCCCAAAATATCTCAGATTTGTCTTTTCCCAAAAAGCTCAACCAGTTGGATCGATCCAGCCTAAGTTCAATGGATCTCAGCCAGTTCGATCGATCCAAGTCCAAGGTTCGATCGATCGAACTTCCTCCAATGCGAAAAAGTTAAATTTCCATCTCATTGAAAGTTGTCCTTTATCCAATCATTAGGGAATATTGTGTGCACGACCCCAGCTCATTTTGGGTGTCATTTTAGCCTACCTATATAAGGATAAGGATTACTTTTTACAAAGGGAGAGCCAATATCAATTTTCATATCATCTCTTGGAGAGCAAGCTTAGAGAAGGAGGAGGCTAGAGACACCATTGGAGTTCTTCATCAACAAGAAGCAGATTTCAACCATGGAGTTAGCCCTTGAGGGTTGGAGCAACATCACCATGAGTGGCTAGACATCCTCTTGGGGCTAGAGTTAGTGTTGTAATTAATGTTTTGATACTTTGGTATATATAGATCTTGTTTAATCAATGATTTATGTGGTTTAATGCTTCCAATTGATCATTTCATTCTATCCATATGTCTATGTATGCTAGAATAGATGTTTATGTGCTTGTCTCTAGATTTTGTGTTATTGATGCATGTCTATGTGTATTGATGCTATAGATTTGGAGATTGTCAAAACATAGTGCTTAAAGGAATGCTCTTGTGATTATCTTGATGGTTCATACTTTTTCTTTGATGGATTGTGCCTCTCCCCTAGTTTATTTTCATGCTAGTAGTGTGGATGTAGTGTAGTGTTAAATGGGAGGACAATCCATGCTTGTTGTTTGATGATCCAAGATTTTGAATGCAAGTAGCATATGTCTCTATCCTTGTGTTGTATTTGGATTGTGAGCTTAATGAAAGGATTAATGACTTGTTTTGATCTATTGTGCCTTTCACATGTTGTTTAGACAATATATGCTTCATCGCTTAGATATATTGTGCCTTTCACATGATGTTTAGACAATACATACTTAACTAGTCATCCTTACTTGTTGAATCAACCAAACACACACACACACACTAATATTGCAACACACCATTTGCCCTCATTAGTCACTTGTTAATGGTATAGAAGTGCATTGCTTGGTGGTGATCTCTAAACCCCAAGATCTCTCTCTCTCTCTCACTTACTCTTAATTGCATTCTTTTGTTGTCACTTAGTTTAATTTAGTTGTTCTCTAATCAACCAACCAATCAATTGTTTGATCACTCGACCTACTAGCCTTAATAGCGATTCCACGACATTGCTCGATCCTCACAATCCCTTGGGACGATCCCTACTCGCCCTAGCTATATTTTTAGTGAAGGTAGTAGTGGCTTCTATAAATGTAAAACTCTTGGCCCTCGCCTTAAAATGCACACACTCTCTCAAGCTTGATGGTGGTGCGGCAACCCTCACAAGGACCACACATCAAATGGAAAGAAGGAGATGCAATTGTATAAGGAGGGTAGCAATATATAAACATAAGGCTGGGCTCGGGTTCTCCAAATGGGCCTTCGCTTCTGGATGCGAGGGATAGTGTCCAGACGTGAACTGTAGCGGGGCGTGATTCTACCAACTCTTAGGCTTGGGATTTGGCATGAGTATGATGGCATTCGGATGCCAGAAATGGCGTTCAGACGTAGGCTAAAGCAGGTGATGGCGTCCGGACGTGGTATGAAGCAGGTGATGGCGTCCGGACGCGAATGTGCCCAGTTCCTTAGATTGATTATTGCTTGAAGACTTCCAAAAATGTTACTCAAACCTTTTTATAATTAAAAAAACCCACAATGACTACTTGAATGGAAATCTAAATGACTCTTGAAGAATGCAAAGTAGAGTTTCTACTTAAGCAATTTTAGATATTTTTGGTTTACAGTAACAAGTCAATAAGGAAGCTTGGAATGGAAAGAATTTGCTTCCCTGAAGTGCTAAATTTAACATTGATAGCTATACATTATGGGAATCCTTCTAGTCTTCATAAATTAGATCCGTCAAGATCATGGAATCCACATATCCGACCGAGACTAGGTTATCAATTTAAGGCTTAAGCCACTGTCCATTGACCTTAAAAAATTCCCATTCTTCGGGTCTTGCAGCTCAATTGCACCATAAGAGAA